TATATATATATATATATATATATATATATATATATATATATATATATATATATATATATATATATCTCCGTTTAACGTTGTAACTATGAGCAGCAGAGATATCCCTAAACAACTTTCCTACTTTTAATCGTTTTCCTCCGATAGTGACAAGATTCTATTCTTGGGATAAATATTCCAATTTTAATAGAAGGGAAAATTCTATTCTATTACATATATATACTCGTAATAAACGTCATTCAAAAAAATAAAAGGGAAAATTCATAATTAACTAGACACGAAAAATAAGAAAAACAAAATAGTGTTATTAAAAGTGATACAGAAAAAAAAGAAATGAAACAAGGCAGAAAAGTTTTTTCAAATATGAAAACCGAGATTTTTTTTTTGTGGGGTGCAATTGAAGGGAGTGTGGGGGTGTGTTCGGGTCGGGGCAGGGCGGGGGGGTTTACCGAGGGAGTTACGGGGGGTAGGAACCGTTAATTTTATGAACGGGGCACCGGAGCGCTCCCAGTTCATCCCATGACATTGGTTCCCAATGTCACGGGAACCTTGGTGATTTATTTAAATGCAAAGAAAAAAAATACTCCCTCCGTCCTATATCTTTCTTCCCGTTGTGAAGAAAGTTTTAAGACGGAGGAAGTAAAAAAAAGCATTGTACGTCCGTTATTTTCTGAACAGTGTTTGGGAGATTTTTAGACGGTAGAGTAGTACATGACTACATGGCACGCGGCCGTTACGGAAAGAAAGCGAACGCGGCGGCCGATTTTAGTGTAGCGTGTGGATAAATTTTCAACCTTTAACCAGACACCCTTTCCGCACGCAGGTTTGGTTGAATCCCCCTTTTCGTTTTCACCCTTTCACCTCGGCGCATACACGCTGCATTTTAAAGCCCAAGCGCGTGTTTTCCCCTTTTTCTTTCTAAACATTATTTCTCAGATGAATCCACAAAAAATTATATCCATATTCGTTACTTATTTAATAAAATAATATATTTATGTCACATCTGTTTCATAGAGCTTTAGATGATATAATTTTTATTTTTTAACTTTTCTCCTTTAATTAAATAAATTAAATTGAAAATAGCTTTAGTCAAACCTTGTAAACTAAAATGGGAAGAATGTTTTAGGCTGGAAAAAGTATGTAAGTTTTGATTTTTTATTCTTACACCAATTTTTAAATAAAATAATTTTAAAAAAAGGTGTTTTAGTTAGTAACGCAAAAAAAGTGTAATCTACTTTAAAGGGATGAAGTATTTGTGAGATTTAATATTTACTATTTTGATTTGAATAGGTTCTATAACTATTACTCCTTAGAGCACTGGAAATGGTCCTGAAGCCCTGGGGCTTCAAACCGGGGCTTCAAAATTTGTCTCTCTGCCACATTGACTTTAACTTACACCAAAATTTCATTGGAAATAGGTTTGAAGCCCCGGGGCTTCAAACCTTCATTTTTTACATTTTTAAATATACATCTTCTAAAACTAAATTAATAAAATGTAATTAATTTATTATTTAATTATGTTGAAACACGAATAACAAAAAATACATTCATTAAATTTAAATAAATTGAAACGACAATAATTTAAAATTTAAAAAATTACATTCATTAAATTAAAAAAAAGAAAACGACAATAATAAAAAAATACATTAATAAAAAAACTAAGGTAAATTATATTTGGCCTTGATCTCTCTTTGTCTTTGCTCATAGATCATCCGTTTGAAACCCGATAACGTAGAAAGGCCGGTTTCATGATTTTGATCTCGTCGTCCTGCTCCATTCGCTTCAACTCCTTCTCCTTTAGCTTCAACCTCTCTTCTTCTCGAAGATTGAACACCCGAAGTTGTTCAACCATTACCCGATTGATTTCGTCGCGAGAAGAAACGGAAACAGAGCCGGACCCTCCCAAACCCGAGGCAATGGATTTTGCCTTCTTTCTTCCGATCGGCCGTAGAATGGGGTCCTCGTCATCGGAATCCGCAACGTTGAAGGGAGGCATTTGATCGGACGAACCGATAGTGTCGTCGACCTCAACCTCGGTGTCGACGGAGGATCTTTTCTTTGACGATCCCCGTCGGGATTGTTGAGTTGTTGCCACTTCGGGGAACGGCTCGAAATTGAAGTGTGTTTGAAGAAGATTGAAGAAGATTGAAGGTGTGAGAATGGGAGGGGGGAGTTTGAAAAGGTCATACATATCTATATACTCTTTAATAGTCAACTGCTTTATGCCTTTATTTGCTTATACTTGGTTAATTTGGAACAGGAAGAGTAGTAAAATGATACTTTCATTTGATAATACTCTAACCGTTCCAAATTAATTTACCTAATCTGGCCATACAAATATTACGTTAGTTATTGAAAAAGATGTTCAATACTCCCTCAATCCCTAAATGTTTACCTTATTTCGAAAAACAAGGCATAATATCAAGTTTTTGAATTCATTTTATGAAAATATCGATATAGAATTAAAAAATAAAATTTACATATTTAAAAACTACATGAAAATTCTTCGAAATAAGAGACTTTAAAAATATTTTATTTTATCAAATAATCAATAAAAATGTACAAATAAACAAAAATTCCCATAATTATTGAAAAAGAAATGTGACAAATATTTTAGAACGAAGAGAGTACTAAAAGTGAGTGAAAATAGGAAAAAAAACTGTATGGGTTTGGATTTTATTAGTTGGGTTGCTATGCCTAACCCGACCCACAATTTGATCGGGTCTAACACGGAGTCACCAAAACCCTACAAAACCCGTCAATTCAAACATATTCCAACGTCTCTCTTTGTACCACCTCCACATATTCTCCGCATTTTCAAACATCAGGTCGCCGGAAAAAACCAAGTTCATGGATTCCACTCCTCCGCCACCGGAACCCAGAAACCGAACGAGATCGTCTTCAAGGCGCTCCAAAATTCGCCGAATCGATGTGGCTGCTGACATTTCCCCTTCAGTCCCAAACCAAGAACTCTTTCTCATCTCCCCTTCCCCAAACCGGAGAACGAAGTCACGTTTACCGGAGAATCTTGAAACTGTTGACCACGTCGCCGAGCCCGCCGGCGCTCGCCGGAGACGCAGGACCCGAAATGCCTCTTCGGTTCTTGCTTCCCCTAGGAATACCAGGAGACAAAGAAAGCGAGTAGATCAAGAAACAATGAGAGAATTTAACGAATTGGGGGTCGGAGATGGAGAGGAGGGCGTTCGGCGTAGAAAGAAGAGGCAAATTGTCAGATCAAAGAAAGATAAGCTTAGTTTAGTTCCTTCAATCCCTTCTCCAAGTAAGCTGTTGATGATAGATCAATTGTACAATGGAAATTTTTTTATTTGTTTCTTGGTTATATGAACTCATGGAAAGCTTAAATCTTGGAGTAGAATCGGATGAGATTCAAGGCGGGATTGATCTGGATCGAATCGGGAAGCTGATGAGCTATGTTTTGATGTGGAGAGACGTTGCAAGATCAAGTTTTTGGTTTGGTTTTGGGTCTCTCTGCTTCTTATCTTCCTGTTATGCAAGTGGAGTTAACTTTTGGTATGGCTTTATTAATCTTTCTTGAAAAAAAAGAAACCTTTTTGTGCTCTTGAGATTCATTGTTGATAACACTGCAAATTGCAGCATTTTCTCTGTCATATCTGAAATGGGACTTTTCTTTCTGGTTGTGTCGTTCATCTTGAATACGCTCCGGCCAAGGTACCTGGTTTTTATTTTCATCCATAGAGAAGTATTATTCATATTTTTTTGTCAAAATCCCTCCTTTTTTTATTCAAAGAGGTTTCTGTGGTGAGTTATCAGAGAACTTGTTGGAGCAAAGAGTGAAATGAAGCTGAAGGAAGATGACATTCTGAGGATGGGTAGATTCATACTTCCAGCAGTGAATCTCACAATTTCAAAAACAAGGGATTTGTTTTCTGGAGAGCCAGCCATGACCCTCAAAGTAAAACATTTTGGCTTTTGTCATTCTGCAGTATTTAGCTCACATTAACCCACAAGTAAAACATTTTTCCCCTTTTGTCAATTTAAGGTTGTGCCATTCTTGATGTTGGGAGCTGAGTATGGTCACCTGCTCACCCTGTGGAGGCTATGTGCTCTTGGTAAGGCTCTCTCATTATTCAATCATCCAAACACATCCTTAATAAAAGAATTGAAATTTATGTTGTTTTCTCAGGGTTTTTCACCAGCTTCACTGCTCCGAGGTTATATTCATCTTACAAGGCAAAAATACATAAGATAGGTATGATCTTTCAAATCCTTTTCCTCGACAAAGATAAAGATTATATGATTTTTTTTGCCTACTCGTAATGTGCTTGAGAATCAGGAGCGTGCATTAGACGCCGTGTGATGGAGGCATGGGGTGCTTGCTCTCACAAGAAGATCATAGCCGCATCGGCAGTGTCGGGCTTTTGGAATTTGACTTCCGTCAAAACCCGCATTTTCACAGGTAGTTTCTGCAATGTGTGGTTTTTGGTCAGTTTCGATTTGGTTTTCCTTTTCTTCAAAATATGGAAAAATAACTCTTGTGGGTTTTTGTTTGATGATTTTTTGTTGGTTTTAGAAAAGCTTTTTAACCAGTGCATTTCATAATGGCTAAATTTTGTTGTATGGCTTCTGCAGCATTCATATGCCTCACATTAATAAGATATCATAGAACCCATTCTGGAGAAAAGGTTGAAGCTGTGGTTGAAAGAGAAGAGCCACAAGAACATAAAGAAGAAGAGGCGCAAGAACACGAAGAACAAGGGCAAGAACAAGAGAATGATCACAAGAAATTGATAGATTGCATTAAGAACTGAATCCCACAAATGGGACTTTGTTTGAACACAGGAATTTGATTGTAATTTTCTTCTCTTACATCAATAAAAACATCTTAATGCTTCTGCTACTACAAAAGATATTTTCAAGACCAAAGCCATATATCATCAGGCTGGGTACAGTATCTGGATTGAAGAAGACAACTCCACACCATAAGTGACAGACAGCACCAGGCGGGATCATACATCATCACTGCAGGCTGATTCATACATGCATATAAAAAGAGGAGAAAAAAATTAACACAATGTTTTACTATTCCGCATTCATTAGAAAGAAAACAAACATTATAAATGAGAAATCAACCAAAAACTTATTCCCAAATACGTCTCATAAAAGAATCAATAATTTCGAGGCCAAACACGAAGTTTAAGAGTATCCGAACACAAAAGAATGTTGTGGTTTTGCAAATTACCTTAAGCCCTCCAAAAACCCATCACACATCATCACTGACAGCTGATTAAATAAAAATAAACAGTGAGTTGATATTTGATTGATTGTCTTACTTTGAGAGACTTATCTTGCGTGAAAGTTGGTCTTAAATCTCAGCAAACATATTGTTCATAGAAATGAGAAAATGGCACAGATGGCAATCGCATATGTTTGTGTTGAAACAATCAAGCATCTTAAATATAACAAAGACTTAAAAATGACATGAGGATAAATGAATCAGAGGAAAGTAGAAACTTTAGAGTTGTTCATTTTAAATATAAATCTACAGAAACTCCAACTTTTGAAACAAGTCCAACATCTAAACTTCATTTTTCTACTAAAATTTGGGGCTTTGAAACACAAAGAAATCCAAGTCAGCCATCTTTGCTTGTCCCTCTTCATCTAGTCTTGTCAACCCCTACATTAGGAAAAAATGTGGGTAGCACCTTATTAAAATGTGACGTTCAAAACAATCCCACATGTAACTGACTATTATTCGAAATGATAGCAAGGAACAATAGCAACACTGCACTAGCCTATTAGTATAGCTTTGGGCCTTATCTTATCAATGGGGCAACGAAAAATGTAAACTCAACCACCCGAATCCATGA